TCCGCATCCGCTGGCCCGCGCGCCCCTCCCCTCCCCTCCCCTCCCCTGGCCGCGGCGCGGGGGTCGCGGTCCCAGCGGAGAAGTTGCCCCCTCACGAAACATAAAGGCGGTGGGCCCCGGCGAGCCCCGCGGGGACCGTCCTGCCTGTAGCGGGGGTCGGAGTTAGATGCCGTCGCTAAATGCGGGTCTCTCCCCCGGGCTGGGCTAGATTGTCACTTCCCGAGCCTGAAGTGACCGACTCCTCTCCCATGGCGCGGGCCCCTCGGTGGCTGCCAGCCCCCCGGCGCAGGAGGGCACTTGCGGGAGAGGCTTAGGCTCGGGCTCCGCTCGCAACGGTTGCAGGAATCGTCGGAAGCGTCTTTCTTTTAACGTGACACGCATGTCATTTTCTCACCGAACTGTCCTGGTGACATCCTTTTTTTTTCACCATGGCTCTCCATCTGGGTGGGTATGGGACAGGGAAACAAGTATTAAATGTGAGCAGCATTGCTGAAATGTCACACAAGTTTGGATACGTCCACAAAAGTTTAAAAGTATCCACAAACAGGCACTTGGTCCGCAGACATTTGGTATCATCCACAAATGGACACTTGGCCCACAGACATTTGACCTTGTCCGCAGACACTTGGTCCGCAGACGTTTGACATCATCCACGACGGATAGGATCCATTTGTGGATGTGGTAGGTGCAGCAGGGATGGAGTCTTTGGTTTCTTCCAAGTTTAATCAGGAGAAGAAATGTTTTACCCTGTAGGTTGTTCAACAGTGTTTTGCGGCCTGCCCAGGCCTAGAAGACATTTGAATAATACGTTCGTGGTGTTTCCATAATTTGAATAATTGCCTGAAGGGTTATTTGTAGAGAGGTAGTCAGGTTGGTGTGAAGTCAGGTTGAAGGGAGAGTGAAGTTGCGTAAGCTTTTATAAGCAGCAGCTCACTTTGTCAGCAGGGATTGTAGTGAATTATAAAGGCAGAGCGATGATAAGTCCCTACTCATGTTTTGACCAGTTGTCAAAAAACATGCATTTCCCTTGGCTAAACTTGTGCTGTTTTGTGTTTCTTTAGAATTGACTTGGAAAAACTAAAAGGTGATCATGCACCATGGCAGCGGTCCCCAGAATGCTCAGCGCCAGCTCCAGAGGTCCAGGTCCTTCACAGGCAGCGAGGGAGAAGAGCAGCAGACAAACCTACCCCAGTCCCCTGCAGCTTCGTTCGCTCCTTCCGCCAGCCCGTCCGCGCCACAGTCGCCCAGTTACCAAATACAGCAGTTTATCATGAGCAGAAGCCCGGTGGCTGGGCAGAATGTAAACATCACGCTGCAGAATGTTGGACCTGTGGCTTCAGGAAACCAGCAGATCACACTAACGCCCTTGCCGATCCCGAATCCGACATCACCGAGTTTTCAGTTCAGCCCTCAGACAAGGAGGTTTGACCATGGGTCTCCATCGTACATTCAAGTTACTTCACCGTTGCCCCAGCAGGTCCAGTCTCAAAGTCCTACGCAGCCCAGCCCTGTGCCGGTGCAGTCGATACCAAACGTTCGGGCAGGCACACCTGGTCCTGGCTTGGGTATGTGCAGCCAAAGTCCTACGAGAGGGTTTGTAGATGCCAGTGTCCTAGTGAGACAGATCAGTCTGAGCCCATCGAACGGTGGACACTTTGTGTATCAAGAAGGGTCAGGGATTGCACAGATCGCTCAAGGAGCTACAGCACAAGTGCAGCTTCCCTCTTCTGGAGCACCAGCTACAGTAAGAGAACGCAGGCTTTCACAGCCTCATTCACAGACCGGTGGCACCATTCACCATCTTGGACCTCAGAGTCCTGTAGCTAGTGGAGCAAATATGCAGCCTTTGACCAGTCCAGGTCATATTACAACTACTAGCCTGCCACCACAGATCAGCAACATTATCCAAGGGCAGCTCATGCAACAGCAGCAGCAAGTGCTTCAAGGGCAGCAGTTGAGCCGACCCATAGGATACGATAGGACTTCTGGTGGATTAATAGCAGGAGTTGGAGGATCGCCTGCTTTTGGAATAACATCGCCACCCCCTCCCACAAGTCCATCCCGTGCCACTGTACCGCAGAGTCTCTCTAATCTTCCTCTGACTCCTTCAGTAAATACAGCGGTGAAAAAACAACCTAAAAAATTGGAGGAGATTCCTCCTGCCAACCAAGAGACTGCTCAGATGAGAAAGCAGTGTTTGGACCATCACCACAAGCAGATGGAGGTTCTGAAGGAGGCTTTTAAGGAATATTTGATTGAACTATTTTTTTTGCAACATCTGCAAGGGAATATGATGGACTTCTTAGCTTTTAAAAAGAAACATTGTGTACCATTGCAAGCATACCTGAGGCAAAATGACTTGGATCTAGAGGAAGAGGAGGAAGAGGAACAATCTGAAGTCATCAACGATGAGGTAAGAAGTCTGTTGGTTAATGATTATGAATAAAACACTAAATTAAATTGTGGGTTTTGGATACCAAAGTATTAGATTGTCTTAGCAATACATAAGATTTTATTTCTGACTGAGGAAGGTATAGTAGACTTTTAAAAATGAAGTTTGTTAAGAGAATTGTAGTTTTGCTGGATGGAAATTTGAACTGCAGGTTGGTTTGAGCATGCAATCAGAAGCATGTTTTTTATGAACAGAGGTAACTATAGAGGGGAAAAGAGTTCTCACTGACTGTGTTTGTGTCAGTATTTATGTCCCATACACAAAATGGTTAAGCTCTCTCTGAACCCAAAGAAACTTAGAATAGTTGCTGAACATGTGTTAACTTCTAAAATGATTACATATTATCTATAATATCTATAAGGAGAAAAAACCCTCCGTAAGATTAGAATCTGCCTTAACTTGGAACTTGGCTTTTGTGAATATAATTTGGACCCATACAATAATTCTGTAAAATACTAGTATTATATTAATCAACATTAAAATAAAAGTAATTTAATAACTGTTGAAGTGTTTTAGGTGGTGTCCCATGAAATGTATTTGAAACACAGTATAACGTACCAATTTACTGTGGGTGCCATAGACCCTCACCTGTGCCTTTATTGCAATTCAGATGCTAAAAAATGCATAGTCTGAGTACAAATTCAATATTGTTCTTTTTTAATTTCTGGAATGTGACTTCACTGTGTCTTGATGGTAAATGGTTTGAACTAAGCTTGCCAGAAACGGGCCCTGCACAATTTCCCTTGCACAGTTGTACCAGTGCATATTAACCCTGACTTGTAGCATCCGTGCTTTCCAGTTTGCATGGCCTGAGCAGTGTCTGTTTGGAGCAGAGCTTGTCACTTGGGTGGCAAGTGGATATGATTTCATTATTGGAACAACTTGGAACTCACAAATGCCTATTTAAATATATCATGTGTGCATAGCTTATGGTATGTTAAAAAATCTGTTTTATAAAGAGACTTGTTTTTGTTTCAAATTTCTCTTGTAAACCAGTGTCTCCCGTGCAAGCTGATCAGTCCTTTAAGTGCAACATCATTAATGGATAGCTCTTTGGTTTGAATTTGTAGATGGGTTAAAAATTGTAACCTGATGTCTAGCATTTGAAGTCTAACCTCTTCGTTGTCTTTTGAGTAATAGTTTACATGGGAGAGGGAATGCAGTTCAGACTATAACGGTTATTAAGCATGTTGAAGGTTGCTGAAATGAACAGAACCTGAACCCTGTACTGTTTCATGGGCAGATTCTCCACTATTGTAAGTTATCCTAGATCAGTGATTCTCAACCAGGCTGCTGGGTTACCTTGGGGTGCCTTGAGATGCTTTCAAGGTTGCCACGCAATGTTAACATTATTAGGTGTGCAAACATGATTCACACAATAAACGCAGAGGTTTCAAATAGGAATCCTTAGTGTAAAAAACATTCTGACCTATTCTGCTTTTTGAGTTCTTTGTAACAGAAGAATTGCTCTAGTATTTTTTTGTAGTCAAAAATGAGTAAAAATTAAGAGTTGGTGTTTTCTGATTTCTCCCTTCAATTAAAAAAAAAAAAAAAAGGTTGAGAAACACTGTCCTAGACCCACTGAAGTTGGGGCACTATGACAGTGTCTTGGTTTAAAGACCTGTTTCTCCTGATTCCAGATCTTTTAGGATTCCAAGTTTACCTTTTCTTAGCTTTAAGGCACAGTTTAAACTATGCAAAGAGGTTCTAAGTGTTTTTTTTCTCTCCTTATAAAGTATTTTAATGCATAATCTAATTGCTTGTGAAAGTTGCTCATCATGTTTAACTGTCGGAAGATTTTGCATCCTGTGCCACTGAAGTGGTTTTGAATACTTTTCAAATTAAGATGACTTTTGGAAATGAAGGCACCTTTTGAGTATGTTCTTTCTTTGTATTTTTGTCTTCCTCTCTTTTATTTCCCCCACCTCTTTATCACCTCCTGCTAAAGCAATGCACCTCATCCTTTGCCTAGAAAGGCTGATCACCCTGGGGATTAATAGGGGAGAGAGAGTGGTGGCTATGCTCATTGCTTAAATAAATGTTGGGGCTCTCTTAAGTTCAGACTGTCTGTCATGCTATTTTGTTGTCCATCAGGAACTGAGAGTGTTTAAATTTAACTCACGCTTTAGCTGAAACTGGATTTAAAACAAGGTTTCCAGTGGTGAGTTCACTAAGGATATTTTTCCCTCGCTCTGTTCTGCTATTAAAAGTGAAACAGAACTTGATAAATTGCCTGTGTTCAAACCAAACTGCACTGATGGTCATTTTGTTATAATCCCCTCTTCAGTGAGGTGCCGTCAGTACAATGCAAAATGATTGTGTTGATCAGTTTTAAGAACTTTTTAAAAGAAAATGATTCTCCCTTTTTTTTCCCAAAATATTTTCTCTCAGGTAAAGGTTGTGACAGGAAAGGATGGGCAGACTGGTACTCCTGTTGCTATAGCAACCCAGCTTCCTCCAAATGTTTCTGCTGCTTTTTCATCCCAGCAGCAACCATTTCAGGTACTTTTCAATGGTTCTAAAATGTAGTGTCATCCCAGATTTTTTTTCTTCATTCAGATTTTCTATTTCTTAGCTGAATTAGTATTTTCCCAAGAGCCCATCCCTTTTACTTAAAACAAAACAATAGCAAAAACTAAACGCCCCCCTCCCCTGAACAAACAAAAACTTTAACATCTTAAAATGTGCAGCGTTTATGGAGTACTGAGGAAGTTTAATCTTTGTCTCAAAGTTGCTGGCTTATTTCATTAACTTTCAGCTTGAATGTTTTTCACTTTGGTTTGTATGTCTTTTGTTTCTCTAATGCATTTAGTTCATTTGTGCATTCTGCATAGCAGTAGTTTGGATTCCTTTGTCTGTGGCATTGTAATTGTGGATTTCTTCTAAATTTCTTTTTCTTTTTTCTTTATTCATTGAAGGTTTTTGAAAATGGCTACAGAATGTATTGGATTTGCCTTCCTTGCAGTATTTTTCTATAATTCAGTTGCCTGCCAGAACACTTTAAATGGATCATCATAAACTTTACAACTTCTATAAAATCTTACCCCAAATTTTATGAGATTTTTTCATAAGTGCTGGCAAAAAGAAACAGAAGTGCTTATCCCCCTTGTATGGTTCCCATGTCAGACAGATGCTCTTATTTCTTTTGTGTGGGGGAACATTGAAGAACATATTTAAAAACAATAAATGCTGTAAAGATAAACAGATTACTATTTATATGGGCAAAGGGGACGCATTTGTAATGTGCAGTCTAGTGTTTGTGTCCAACACTGCCCCTCCACTAAGTATTTCAGGCTTGTTTAACTTTCGGGCTGTTCTATCATTTTATGACTAGCTAACAAAGCATAATGAGTCCAGATTCTATAGCTAAAATATTCATCGTAAGCTCAGGAGATACTTACTTGATGGACTCCATAACCTTTTCTACCCTAGCTTGTATAGCCCCCAGTTAGGTGTCATTGTGGTTCGGAGAAGGGGTTTAAAAGCAAGACAGAATTAACTATATCCACAATTAAAATGAAGAATAAATTAAAAATAGGCCTTTAAAAATAACTTATTTGGTGAAGAGTTGTTTGTTCCCAATGCTTTTTGGTATGGCCAGTAACTATAGGCTTTGGAAGTTTCTTCACATAATCAGAGATCAATGACACCTTAAAATGTATGAATTATGAAACAACATAACGGTTGACATTTTATAGTAATTGTGGCTGTCACTGAGCTCCGTCCATAGCAGTGACACCATAGGTTTGGTAGGAACCTAAGGTACCTAAAAGTGAAAGTGCTAAATGCACTTGGAAAATTTACAAAACCTGGGAAGAATGTAACTCTCAAGCTCTTAGCAGAAACCTTATGTACCATCCCAGTCCTTACCTCTTCTCTTTGCTCGTATTTTGTCATTCAATGTTAAGTACATAAGTACAGAGAAATGAAATTGTTAGTGGGGACATGTTGCATAATAGCCTTATGACCCCAGAGTTTTTTCTTAATCTCAGTGAATATACAGTGACAATTTATTTTCTCTTGCCAGTGGCTGACAATTGCTCTTTCTATAAATTCATAGCCTTTCTTCTCAGGAGCATTCATTCTAAATCGAATTAAAATAATGCAGGTAACTTGGAAGTATTCAAATACAGACATCAATAAAAACTTTAAACCAAATGGATGTGGAGCCTAAAGCTAGGCCACAGCGTCATCCATATTTGGAGAGAAAGTGATAAATAATAAAAGGGGGACTGGGGAACTTAAATTGAGATTTGAAGGAAACAGCTGCTCAGATCAGTGATTAGGAAGGCACTTGCTGCAAGCAGTATCTGAACTGGAGATGATCATCAATTTTGTTCAGATTTTAGAGGAAATTTATATTGTTCATTTAAACACATTATTTGGAATCATTCCGTCCTCTGACTTGACAGTGCCTTGCAAAATGTTAAGTGTTTGAATTGAAACTTCTGTGCGCCTGCCCCCAGGTTATTTGTTTTTAAAGTTTCATTCAGTTGAACATGGTCTGAAATTTACTGAATATTACAATAGTAAATTAAAAAAGGAAATAAGAGTAGTTAGACACTTTTTTTTGGCGAAACAAGCAGCCTTCCTTCTCTGTGGGCTCCATTGTGCTACATAAACATTCTTAAAACTGCAGTCACATCTTAAGGTTCTGTACAGAGATCGTTATGATGGGCATAAAGGTCAATACTTAAATTAAGGGGCTGAATTTTCTTATTCCTAGTTATTGATTAGACTTTAGCATTGTGACACAGAGCAGAATACATCCTACAGTACCAAGGCACAATGGGATGTGTTAGACCTAATTGTTTTACAGAAGTGTACTCTGAAATGGGGCACTGAAGTGGGGCACTTTGGTTTTGGCTTGCTAGTTTTTCAGTAACAGTTTAAGTGTAGAGTTGTATTAATTTCCTTACGATTTAAAGTGGCAAGACTTCTCAGAAGAGCTGGGTGGGGAAAAAGGGGGATTGCCTTAGCAAATGTTCCTTTGAGGAATTGCTGTTAACAGTATTGATGTATTTAACTACACAAAAGGTGTTACATTGGAATACATATTTTGGAAAGCTCTTACTTTGCAGTAAAAGCCACTATCACAAGCAGTTTGACTATAGAGAGCATCAGAATGGTAAATGAGTTCATTTTCATGGCCTTCTATAATTTTATTTTTTAAATAAAAGCTGTTTAGAGCTGTGTTTAGGTCAACATCACTGATTTCATATTTAGTCTTATAATAAAGTACTTGCTGGTAGCATTGTGGCTAATAGTAGGGGAAGCCCTGAAAATCTAACACGGAAATTTGCACAAATGAGGTCTGTCCCCACAGATGCTCCTGTGCTTCAGTAAATTCTCACCAGTAGTGCTGTGTAGTAGCTGAGACCCAAAGTGCATGCAAATAATAGCTCTTTCTACTTCAAAATCTCAGTATCCAGTTCTGCTGTATGATTCTCAAATTTGATGAGGATTTGCCTTGACTATAGTATCTGTTGTTTATGACAGTATTAGATAGAAAAATACTGAAGGAAAAGTTTGGGCCTTGATTAGATAAAGGCTGTAACCCTTGCCAAATTTGAGCAAAAGTTTTCTGATGGAGATGACTTAAATACCTTGCTGAATGAGAGCCATAGTGGTTTCATGCTGCAGAATGCCCTTCTGGCTCTGGTGTTTTATAATCACATTGATGTCTGGGCTCCCGAGGAAAAAGGAAAGGTTCTGACATGTCTGTGCATGTGCAATGATTTTCAAGAATGACCGTGATTCACAATCCAGAATTGATAACTGTACTTCTTGACATCCATTTCACCAGCTGTGCTATTACCTTCTAGCACAGTACTTCCCAAACTTTTCACCAGCATGACCCCATTTATGGTCCCATTTCCTCAGCATGGCCCCTCACTCCCAACCCACAGCTCTCCCACTCTTGCAACCCCATCTGCTGATGCTGCAACCCCATTTGGGGTCGCGACCCACTGTTTGGGAACCACTGTTCTAGCAGTCAGCTGCAAGCCTCAATAAAACAAATGCAAGACCAGGTGGGAGGGAAATGGACTTATTATTTGCATCTTCTTTAAGCGCATTTATTCCATATTTTGGCCTTGAGCAGTTTTTCTGGCCAAGTGGAAAAGCTAGGTCACTATGGCTTCGTTCTGAGGCGTGCTGAGCACCGGAGCTTATTGAAGCCCAGAGTGTTGTTGGTGGCTACCAGCAAGTCAGCTTATTTGTCTTCAGAATGGCAGTTAATTTTATTCAGACATTTCTCAAATATCTGACATCCAGACTGGAAATTAGGCCTTCCTAATGCTGAAAGCTTTCACAACTAAAATGTCTTTACCATCTTGCTCTGACTGATATAAATACTGCTCTGTCCCAATCTAGTCTCCCTTCTATTTAAGCCTTTAGTGAAGGCAAAATTTTCCATTTTTGGCATGCCAGCTTATTGCAGCACCTGTGTAATGTATCTCTGTACAGTTATGATTTCATTGCAGAACTAAGAAGATGGTGTCACTGGGCTTAGAGGGGAGAGTCTCTCATAAATGGAATTTTTTTAATAGAAAAAGAAGCACAGAAAAACGAGCCAAGTATATTTCCCCCCTGCCCCCCAGTTTCCTTAGTATTGCAACTCCTAAAATATATCCCACACATCATAGTTAATAAAGTGATACTGGGAAACTGAAGGGTCTCAGGGTTATGCCATGTAACTCTGCTATAGGGGCTTTTGAAAACTGTCAGTACATATGGCTGACACTTTTTTGAATGATATGGTCAGTTTGAAGAGCTAATTGTACAGCTAGATGTTCTTTGTTTTCAAAATAATTTATCTGTTGCTATAAGAGTGATTGAAGATGTAACTTTAATTTTTGTGGTTTGTTTTTTTTCCTCAATAGCAAACACATACAGGGACTCCAGTAACGGGGACTGTGAATACCATAGAAATTGAAGCTTTTAAGAGACAGCAGGCCCTTGCTCCAGCAGGTATGTATGTTCCTCTTAAACAGAACTCAGTTTTACTAGCAAACTATTAATAGAAAGACCACAACTGCATACCCCGTGAAACAGAGTTTTTGTCAGTTGCCAGATACTTTGGCCTATCTGTTGTGAGGGGGCTGTATGCATTGTAGCCCACTTGCAACAAGTAGGATTGGATCTGGCAAGCATGAAAATATTTACCAGCTGTGTTACTTGGACCGAGGGAAGTAAACTTCAAGTTGGCCACCTTTAAGGGGACTTGGAGCATGTACTTCATCAATGCTACACATGCTTAGTATAGTTGTAGCTTTCTGAGCTGATGTTGAAATCATGTGTAGTAGATTTGCTTTGTAAACTGAACCCATTCCATTATACCCTGCCATAAATGGAATTTGAATATCACAGATTCGTCTAAGAGACCACGAATTGAAGTGGGCCGTCATGGGATGGTTTTTCAGCATCCAGGTGTGGCTTCAGGAGTTCCTCTTCAACAGCTAATGCCAACGGCACAAGGTACTGTGTCACCACATGCCAATTGCAAATTAATTTAACAAGGAGATGTTAGTGATGGAACTAGAAACTTGGGCTCTTGGCCTTCTGAGATCCTAGTTCCACCACAGACTTCTCCCTGTAAATTAATACTTGGTATGCAATGCCTGGATTGTTTAAGGAGCTGAGTGACGGGCTCCAGAGGTGCATGTGGGCATGGAAATACGTCACAGGTACTGATGCAAATTGTTAGTCCAGGAGTTCTGAATCTAATCTGCAGGTCTGTAATAATAAATAAATAAAGGAGGAGATCTCCCAGTTTGAAGCATCCATGACAAAAATTGTTTTTTCCTTCATTAAAGGTGCCAGTTCACTGACAGTCCTTCTTGGTACACATGTGTTAGTGTGCAGCATCCTCAGTGAATATCAGTCAGCATATGTTAGGACTTAGTGGTGCTGATATTTTACGATTGTCTCCAGCTAACTCATTAGTGCATAAAAATGTAGGAAATTCAGAGGATAATTTAATAGCAATAACATATTATTTGTAGTAGTGCTGCTCACAAATTTAGTTGTATTCCTGTGCATGATGGATTGTACTGTTCATTGTGATGGTGACTTATTTTTGTCATTGTGATGTGATATTTTTCAAAGTGATGATGTCTTGTGGCACAGTAAGTAACGAGTCAAAATCCACATGCTGTTAAATTAGCATGGAGCATTAGCCCATGAAATTAATTCCTGTGGGATCTCCTCTTGCTTTGTAGGTGGAATGCCTCCCACTCCTCAAGCTGTACAGCTCACTGGACAGAAACAAAGTCAGCAGCAGTATGACCCATCCAAAGGCCCTCCTGTGCAGAATGCCGCAAGTTTACACACTCCTCCGCCTCAGCTGCCGGGGAGGCTGCAACCTGCTAACGTCCCTATAACATCTCTCCCAGCTGCATTGCAGCTTCCACAGCAGCCACCACAGATTGTTGAATCTCCATCTCAGCCCCAGATTCAAGTGAAGATCCAGCCACAAAATGTACCCATCACTACTGCGCCTCATGCCCAGGTCCCAGCACCGCTTCAGCAGCAGGTGCAGCCAGCCCTTCATGTACAAGGACAGACACCAACACAGGCATCCCAGCTGCAAGCTACAGGACAGCAACAGGTACGTGATGTTCAAAATGTCTGGATGTAAAATTTGCCTGGTGTGAAAATCTACCCCCAGTAGACTATAATGGCAATCTCTTCCTGCAGATAGCTGAAAGGCGTGAAATGGTTGCAGTGTAACTAGTGTTAACTAGGTTGCTTATCTAGATACACTTTGTTGAATAAAATAGTAAAATCCTGATTTGTGGTAAAAGTAGTCAGTGGATCAAAGCTGAGTCAGCATTTGGCCAAGATAGTCTCCTGTAATGCACATTTACATAGTATGTGATGTTAAATGTCATTTGGTAGTCACTTAACAAGTACTTTTCTTGCACAGACTGTGACCCTGACTCGACCATCTGCAGATTCTGCCCAAAATTCCCAGCGTCTTACAGTAAATTCGCTGCCGCCTACCTCATCGATCGCACCAGCAACACTCTCAGGCACAGCACCACTTTCTGCGTACCCAGTGCAAACAAACAGGACATCGCCAGCAACTAACAAGTCTCTGTCTCCAATTGCATCAAAACCTCCAGGCTTGGCAGTAGCTGCAGCACCTAAAACGCAGAGTCCAGCTCAGAATGCTGCAGTGTTACCACAAGACAGCTCTCAAGACAAGCTTGCTGAACAAGTAAAGCTGGTAAGATTGTTTTCCTTTGGGAACATAAAAAGGTGCAACAGGCAGAAAAGAGGGGCTTTCCTACATGGACCTCTTGGTTCTTTGGGTGTGTGCGCGCATGTGTATGTATCTCCTCTTTTGGTATTTAGTCCTTATTTTATGGACTTCCAAGGAAGCTAAAAGCAAAACTGTTAATGGAAGCACTTGCCGTTGCCAAACACAATTTTTTTTGGTATTGTCAACAGTCCTGCTCACCAGTTGTGTTGGCGTGGGTGGCCAAATTACTTTTCTAGTAAATCTGAGCCATGCCTTTTTGAGTCTTTAATAGGACTTGTTATTCTTAAAAGCTAAATGTTTTGTGTAGTGTAGGTGTCTTATCCTCAATTACATTACTTTTTGGATAAGAAAAGCTCTTGATTTCAGTCAAAACATTTAGTTTAATTATAGTTTGCATTGGTTTTGTAAGCTGATTGCTGTGCCCTTTTGTCAGCTTTTATCTGGCTAAACAGGGGAGTTTGTTAAATACAGCTTCACCTATTGTAATTCTGCTTAAAACAGAATTGCCTTTAATCTGTTAATTTTACCATTGCAATACAATATCTAGGCTTGATTTGTTCCAGACATGTCCCATGTTCTAGCGTTAAACTTTATGAGATTTACCTGATATTTTCCACCCTTTGGTTTTTAAGGAGAATCAGATCCATCAACGAATAGCAGAGTTGAGGAAGGAGGGCTTATGGTCCTTGAGGCGATTGCCCAAACTCCAGGAGGCCCCAAGACCCAAATCTCACTGGGATTATCTTCTGGAAGAAATGCAGTGGATGGCAACTGATTTTGCTCAAGAGAGAAAATGGAAGATGGCAACTGCTAAGAAGGTACTTCGTGTGAATCTGCTGTTGAAACATATTCTCTATTTCTGGTAAAATCCTTATAGTAGATGTGAGGGGTTGACCAAAATGTGAAGCTCTGGGCTAATTCTTTAGGTCAAATGCTGAATTTCAGAAGTGCTGAGGACCTAATGTCTGCTCCTGACTTCATAATGGTAGACATTGACTTCAGTGGAAAATGCTGGGTTCTCAGCATCCTGAAAATTCAAGGGTATATTCAGGTGCCTCAAATACAGATTTAGGATACTGACTTGCAGCAGTTTTGGCAATTGCAGCCATATTACTTGTTTATTTTGTCAGCTACTCCTTCCATCCAACAGTATGTAAAGAGCATTCTTCTACTGGAACTGCTGCATGCAAACATGTTGTGTTATACCCATCTCAGAAAAGATATAGCAGAAATCAAAGAGTTCTAGAAATAGGCATGGAAATGAAAGCATATGAGGAAAAAGTCAAAAAAATTGTAGCTCTTTAATTTAATGATAAGACCAATAAGAGGAAACCTGAATGCAGTTGATAAATGACGAATGGTACAGAGAAGGAAGAACCTGTTTACCTCCACTCATAATAGAAAAGTGAAACAAGAACCAAAGATGCTGAAAGGTACTTAAAACGAATGAAGGCATGCACTGATTATCTGATGGTTTTATTAGATGGTGAGAACTGTGGCTCGCTACCATGAGGAAAAGAAGCTCAATGCAGAGAGAGCCAAAAGAGAGGAACAAAACAAACTGAGACGCATTGCGGCTTCAATTGCTAGAGAAATAGAATACTTCTGGTCTAACATTGAACAGGTAAACTCTTGATTTTTTTTTTTTTATTTATATAGGCAAGATTGTTTGTAAAAGTCTAACCATTTTAATTTTGAAATTGCAATGGTCCATCAGCTTTTGTTGCTTTACCTTTTAGGTGGTTGAAATAAAATTGCAGATTGAATTCCAAGAGAAAAGGAAAAAAGCTTTGAATTTAAAGAAAAAATCAAAGAAAGGTAACTACGCTTCATTTAATTAGCATTCTGGTATACGTTCATAACCTGCTCCTCAGAGTTTGCATCATTCCATCCATTTACTATAAAAACGGGTCTCATCTTTTTGACAGTGAAATCTATCCAATGTTAAGAACTGATTCATAAATCCAACCAGTTGGATTTTGCTGCTTTTGATTTAAATTAAATATTAGCATAAGAATATAGACTTGCTGATGGGTGAATATAGAACAGTTGTTGGGTGCTTAAAGTGTAATATCTTTTCAGATAAAGGTGTAAAGTTTGCAGAAGCTATTTCATTGGAAAAGGAAAATGAGATGGTAAGTTATTTCTGCTGCTTAAAAAAGTGCTTCATAGTTCTTCATAATTTGCCTGCCTTTATTTAATACAAAGTTTTTAATCAGATTCAAATAAACATGAAAGCCGCTCTTCGAAGTTGCAGACAAATCAATGTAAAATATATTCTGGAAGTTAATGCTGGGTTTCTGGTCATAAACAGTTTGTCATCAGGGGACAAATAGCACACTTTAGGAACCATACATATTTAATTCAATACTGATTTCTGTTTATGCCTGGAAATGATAAAATTCTTTTTAAAATGTGAGTTAATAGAAAACTGCAGAGGATCTGAAACAGTTGTTCTAGTGTTTAAAAAAGAAAGACGTATTTATTAGTGGTTGACGCTCTACTTGGATCATTAAGTCAAAAAATATTTGCTGGTAGGGTTTACAAACACGTTCGCTGGTGGGGTAGAAATTAATGGTAAGGAGAAGTTACTCTTAAAGAGTACTCTGACTCACCTTATTCATTAGTAATAGTCCAAGAAAATGTGTTTTAATATAGCCAGATATAAGAGAATACATATGATCCAAGCCTTATGAGGTGAAAAAACTCAGCTTATCAAAGAGAAAATTGAGAGGTGACTTGATCACTGTGTATAAGTGATTGCTTATGTCAAAGACATCTAATTGCAGTAGAAGGGGTTTCAACTTTCCTGACAAAAGCAAAGCAATGGAAGTTGGAGTTACAGAGGTTCAGTAAAATAAGATGCACTTTCCTAGCTGTGAAGGTAATTGCACATTGGAACATTTTACTAGTAGCAGAGCTGAATTATTGTGAAGTCTCTAAACACGATCTGATGACTTTTTTAAAAAGGAGTATTTTAATCCAGGAAATCAGGCTTCTGGTCATGGTGGTCCCTTTTGGCCAAGTAATCTGCAAACTAAGTTCCCCTTTGTACTCTCTCCCTTCCTCCTGGACCTTGAGAGTAAGATTGCCTGTACTGTCCTAACCTTCTCATAATGGAAGATGGGATACCAGATCTGGGTAGATCAGTGCTCAAAGGTGGTGATGCAGAGAAGTCTGTTTCTAGATGTCTCTGTGAGATACCTTGCTCACATGCTCAGGATTATCTGACAATTCTCAGGTTGGTGGTCAATGAAGAGTTTCCCCTGGTCAGTTTGGCAGGAAGTTTGAGGATTGCTTAGTTTGTTCTTCAGTTCATGACATTTGCCGGTTGAGATGATCTGGGCATATCTCACCTAAGTAAATCCTAGTTATTGCAGGCCTCATTCTCCTACTTCCCTTCCTATTTCCTGCATGTGGCTTATAGTTTAGTTTCTTGCAGACTGAAACACTAGTCATTTTACTCAGTAGAGGGACTCCTGTGACATACAGAAGATCATACTAGATTGTTCTTACTGTCCTTGAGCTCACAGCTTTTGTGAAAGAGCAGTGATTTACCCCTTTGAATATATGGGTCCTCATCTTGCAGAGTGATCTCTGCAAGTAAACCCTTGCATTGGCACAGAGTCCCAATGAGATGCTGATGTACTGAACTTATTGGATGGACTTTGGTCTACTCTCCAATTTAATGGTGGTGCTGAAAGTTAAAGGAGGGAAGAAGATAGATCATGATACTGCTAGCATGGTTTGCAGCTTCTTTAAAGGATATCTGGTGTTTTTATTCTCTGGATTTAAAACATTTTAATTATTTGATGCTAGGATTTGTTGTCACCTGGAAGGAAAAGAAAAGCAAGCACATCCTTGACTGATGAGGAAGGTTAGTTGCTTTTCAAAATTTCATATCGTATGTGGTATACTTGGGAAATGTGCATATGGTTTATACATAAAAAATATTAAACCACTGGTCGTCGATCTGCTGCTCCACGTACCTGGTGATTTTTCACAAAATACCAAGTTCACTCAATTCTTAAAAATTAAAGAGCCAGTATGAGGTGAGGTGCTTGTATAAAATTTTGTTGCCAAGGCTTCATTAGAAGTCCTAACAGAGATGGAGGAAAGAGAGGAATAGGAATTTGTTGTATTAGCTTCTTTGATTTTCCTCTCCTAGTTAAAATACAAATTGCTTGGGCTGTTCGTTTGTACCTCAAGAATGAAATAACATTTGTAAGTTTACATATAAACCACACTGAACAACTCACTGGATCCTGGCTGTACGTGCTGTACTCCATGCCACAAAGGTATAGGATTCAGCAGTTTAATTGAGAAAAGACATGGAGCAGATCCTCAAGGAATCTATTTCCACCAGTGGATGGTGGTATACCTTGACTTTAGCAAGGCTTTTGATACGGTCTCCTACAACAGTCTTGCAGACAAGCTGAGGAAGAACGGGCTGAATAAATGGACTGTAAGGTGGATAGAAAACTAGCTAAAGCATCAGGCTCAGAGGGTAATAATCAGTGGCTCGATGTCTAGTTGGCAGCCAGTATCAAGTCGAGTACCCCAGAGGTCGGTCCTGAGGCCAGTTTTGTTTAGTGTCTTCATCAGTGACTTGGAAGATGGCATAGAGTGCACCTTCATCAAGTTTTCAGATGACACCAAGCTGGGGGGGGCAGGTAGTAGATATGCTGGAGGGACAGGGCTAGGATTCAGAGTGACCTAGACAAATTGCTTTTGGCCCACACTCCAATCTCATGAGGTTCAACATGGACAAGTGCAAGGCCCTGCACTTAGGACAGAACAGTTGCATGCACTGGTACAGGCTGGGGACTGACTGGTTGGGCAGCAGCTCTGCAGAAAAGGACCTGGCGGTTACTGTAGACAATAAGCTGCATATGAGCCAGCGGTGTGCCCTTGTTCCCAAAAAGACTAACAGCCTACTGCATTGGTAGGTGTGTTGCCAGCAGACCAAGGGAAGTGATTATTCCCTTCTGTTCAGCACAGGTGAGGCCACATCAGTTTTAGGCCCCCCGCTACAGAAAGCATGCGGACAAATTGGAGTGAGTCCAGCCGAGGGCAGCAAAAATGGTGAGGGGGCTGGGTCACATGTCTTATGAGGAGAGGCTGAGGGAACTGTGGGCTTATTTAGTCAAGAGAAGATTAAGAAGGGATTTAATAGTAGCCTTCAACGACCTGAAGGGGCGGGGGTTGCAAAGAGGATGGAACTAGAGTGTTCTCCATGGTGGCACATGACAGAACAAGGAGCGATTCATAGATTGCAAGGCTGGGGGGATCCCGAGGGATCATCGGGTCCAGCCCCCCTGCACTAGGTTAGACAGGCAACTGGGAGTCAGGTGACCCCAGCAAGGTGACCGTTCAGTCTCCTCTTGAAGATTTCCAGGGTAGGCAATTGGAAATGGTCTCAAGTTGCAGCGAGGGAGGTTTAGGTTAAATATTAGGAAGAATTTTTTCATTAGGAGAGTAGTAAAACATGGAAACAGGTTACCCAGAGAGGTTGTGGACTCTCCACCATTGGAAGTTTTTAAGACCACGGTAGATGAAGCCTTGGTCTAGCTGGGGCTGGTCCTGCTTTGAGCAGGCGGTTTGGACTTGATGACCATCTGAGATCCCTTCCAACCCTAATTTTCTATGATTCCATGATTGTAAGACCAATTTTCTAATGTTTTGCTTCTTCTAAAATATCCCTTTGACTTTGCGTGCCTGTTACTTGGAAAAAAGATCTGAAGCATGTTTGAGTTTGCAGACCTATTATGTATGCAACCATACTTTATTGTGTTTTGATTTTAGTTGAAGATGAAGAGGAAACGATTGCAGAGCAAGAGGCTAAAGAAGGAAATATAAACCATCAAACTGAATTGTCTAACCTAGCCAAAGAAGGTATGCATGTGGGGTTTGAACACAGGTTTGAACCTAGTGCCATAATATATGAAAATATGTAGCAATTCTGTTGCCTTGTCTTTGTAAATAATAGCTATTAGCAAAAGAAAGCTTCTCCTATCAGTACATTCAGCTTTCAAGTTTGTTCGACTTGGTATTTCTTTAAGGAGGCTTTTTGTTTGGTGTGTGCTTTCTTATTATTTCGTAATTTTAGGGGCTAAATTATTGAACTTTGAGGAATGTTTGTATTTAGTTAGCTCATTCTTACATAATTGGTCTGGGGGCAAAAGTGCCAGTGTGGGTATTTCTACACGTGCCCTTATGGCACTGTTGTTTCTGCGTCATTATTTAGTACTTCCTTTTGGAGTACCTTCCTTACTAGTACCTTTTTGAAGTACTAAATGACGGTGCAGTAACAGCCATTACTGTGCTGTGCTGCTGGTGCACAGTTATTTTTATTTTTACCTGTATCGCTGTAGTGATGCGCTATACCGAGGAAGCGTGTTGCTACAGCAACGTAGCTGCAGTGTCACTGTGCCTGCTGACGCTATATCACCGTAACATCGTGTATAGATGTGCCCTGTGTGAGTGACTCTTTAGTTAGATGTTGTTCCTATAGATAGGCCCAGCATCAAAAGTTTCCAAGCAGAGCTGTAGGTGCCCTTGCTATATGTTCAGAACACAAGACCTGCAGGAAGGTGGATGAAACATCACTTACACAACCAGTGCTGCTTTAAACCTTCTGTCACCTCTTCCAGTTTGCTAGAACCATCACCTTCAACTGCTGTGGCCCTCCATCAGCTGCTGCTTGCTCAAGGAGAAGAGCTTTGTAGCATGTCTGAAATTCAGCAGATTTGAGCCATTTTTAGCTTATATAAGGGGCTACTGACCAGTCAAAAGGACAAGGGCCTTTACAAAGGTTGCTTTTACAGAGCATGTACCTACTGTTCAGAATAACTAGCAGGGACTGCTTCACTGTTTCAGTGCCATGCTTCCCCTGAGCTTTAACTAATAGAGTGTATGGCGGATTTGGATGGTGATTAAAAAAAAAAGCTGAGCTCTTGTCATTTACCCTTTTTAATCAGATTTAAACTCAGGTGTCCAAAGGTAAAGGCTAATGTCCTCCAAACCCCAGGTCTTCAATAATTACTTAAAATAGTTGCTATCCTTTCAGCTATGGTCGTTATGAACTGCAGATTGTGTATGTATGTCTAACATAGCAATCAGAGATACTTTGATACTTGTAAAGCAACAATATGGACTGTTACTAGTTGTTATGGGTAATAACTTTGTATATATTCAATGACCTTCAGCTGAATTGCCTTTGGATGACTTAGTAAAGATGTATGAAGGTGCCTTTGCAGAGAATTTTCACTGGCCCCAGCCTAAGCCTGACAATGAAGAGGATACTAGTGAAGAAGGTAAATTGATTTTATTTATAAAATTGGATTCCAGTTATCAAGATGGTTCATATTCTGAGAAACCAGATATAAAGGTCCATCTGAAACAAATGAAAAGTACAGTACTGGCTTCTGAATGCGACCATATGGTCTCATAAGGTAGAAAGGTTTTGTGATCCAGGACCCAGAAAATGGGCTTAGGAGATTTGGGTGCCACCTTTGGTAATGCTAAATATTTTCTAGGTGATTTTGCAAAAGACATTTAATTTCTCTGCCTATCAGTTCCCAATGTATAACAGGAGAATAATCTTTTCCTGCTTTGTGGATATTGTAAGGATACATTTAATTTAATGTTTGAGAGGCTCTTGTGAACTACAGTGGCATTGTAAAAAAGCTGGAAGTACACTGTTAAATTCAGGGAGTAACTTTTTATTGTATATTGCATCATTTGTCACAGGACCATTTGTTCTGAAATACTGAAAAATTTCTGAGGATTTCTTAGCAGGATTATAAAAGCTCGTTTCTGTTCTGATAGCCCTATGATGTAAACATTCAGAACCTATTTTTGAGCTCAACTTGCTTTTCATTCTAGGTGGCTAAACAGAAAACAATCGAAACATTCAACAAGTTAATAACCTAAATAGGAATTAGATGCCTTAGTTATCTTGTGAAACTACTCAAGTCGTGGAGCCCAGGGTCAAATTTTGTGGGCTTGCTGTGGCCCTGGGCTCCAGTTTTTCAGGCAGATTATGGCTGTGCCCCCACACCTCTGGCTGGGGTGGCTAACAGACACCTGGGCTGCTACTGCCCCCTAGCCCTGCCCGGCCTTGCTCGCCACCTGGCTCTGGTCTGCATGGGTGGGAAATGACCTTCAGCTGAATTAAGGTTCCAGCCCTAATGTCTAATATCTATGAAACATAAGCCCTGTCCCATCCCAGCATGAGGACATGCCGCTTGCCTCCCTGCTGCTCCCCAGTCAGGCTGCATTTTCCGTCTTGTCCTGGCTCTGCTGCTTCTGAACTAGCCCTGCTCCCCCTGCCCCTCTTTGGGCATGCATGGGTGCAGGGATGGGCCACCACTGCCCCGCTGTCTACCAGCTGGGCCATGCTGCCCTGGCTAGGCCATGCTCCTCCCCTCCCCCCAGTCCCCCATCCCAGCCAAGGGGGAAAGATAGTAAAACCTTTTTATTTTTACGTAGTCTTGTTTTCCCCGGCTTTTTTTGCAGGCTTTTTGTTCACAGATTTCTCTGATTTTTTGTGAAAAATGTCTGATTTCGCAGTTTCCTTAAAAATCATGAAATCATGATTTTGGTATATCCCTAGTAATAATTTGTGTATTGTGTGCTGTAGAAATGGAAGACCACGCAGCTGACAGGGAGAGCCCTCAGAAGGAAGTGGTCCTCATAGACTCGCTTCTCAGCATTGATCAGTATAAGGGGATAGAGAGATCAAGTCCTCCAAAGAAACATGCAAGAGACATAGCAGAAGTTGCTGGTGCTGCAGAAGTGCTGTTACCTAAAGGCAGCGCGAGGATCACAACAGCGGTAAAAATCATTTTCAGTTGAGCTTGTATTTGCATTATTTAAAGAATTTAGCTTCAGAAGAATACTTGAAGTACCAAGCTAACATTGCTTGTTTCCTCAAGAATCAAGGATGACATTCCTCAATGTCACCCTGGTATGTGATGTTATCTAGATTATATTTCTTAACAACCAGTTAATAATCAAATGTTTTTTATAATTAGCAAATCACAATAGGAAACATTTTGTGCTTGCTTCCTTACACTTAGTTGCATGCTAAGCTTTAATCAAAAGTAGAAACATATATGCATATATTCTTTTGCTCCAGGTAAAATATAATACTCCGTCCCTGTTGTATGGGACTCTCAGAGAGTATCAGAAGATTGGGCTGGACTGGTTAGCAAAGCTATATAAGAAGAATCTAAATGGTATTCTGGCAGATGAAGCTGGGCTTGGGAAAACTGTGCAAGTCATTGCCTTCTTTGCACACTTGGCTTGCAATGAAGGTAAGTTCAGTCTGCATCTGTGCTCAGGCTTCTAGTTCTGAAACTTAATACAGACACAGGGTAGCTGCATGGTGCCTTGTAACACATGTGCAAGCCCCCAAAGACAGCATCTAGCATGCTGAACACATTCCCTAGACATGCCAGAGGATCCTTGTGCAGTTCTGATCTGGATCTTTCCAGGTGTGTGTGTATGTGTGTTTGCCAAATCCTATATGAAAACAGTTTGGGGCTGTAGGGGGAGCACACTTAAGTGTTCTGGCAGTTAGCAGTGCCACTTAACTGTGTTTTAGGTGGCTTTGGTAGGCTGGCTTCTGGTGGAAAGGGGAGTTGGCTCACAGGACATGCTGTGGTGGGAGATAAGAATCAGCTGCTAGCAGCATTAGAAGCTAGACAGGAGCCAGGAAATTAATATGCACTAGACAAAGTGAGAGGGAGACGGAGAGTGTCAGATTTGCTTCATAGTCTTTGTTTTAGTTAAGTAAAATCAGACTTAACAGATGGAGAAGAAGGATTATGTTAGTAAAAACCTATTTAGATTGAAATTTAGGACTCAGTTGCTTCATGTTCTAGCTATACCATTTGGCAGCTCCCTGATCAGCCTGCTGTTCCCTTTGTGTCGCTTGCAGAGACCAGTTTAGTTATTTGTTAAATTTTCAGTTTAATATCATAAAAAAAGAATTCCTCATATTGTGTAATGAACACGGGACTCTGTTCACTTCAGAGTCATTCATAAATAGTTGTAATTGTACGATTGCCAACCTAAATGATACCTTTGTGTTCAGACTAGTTAACTCTTGCTGTTAGTCTTGTTATCAGGATTAGTATGGTCTCCCTTCTGCTGTTAAGTTAAGGACTGAATGTACCGAATTCATTATTAAAAATACATGGGAGAACATGAGTTTCGGTGTTTCTCAGTATGTTGGTATTGTCACCTGCAGTGGTTTTCCTTCTGTAGGTAATTGGGGTCCTCATCTTGTTGTTGTACGGAGTTGTAACATATTGAAATGGGAGCTTGAGCTGAAACGCTGGTGCCCTGGGTTGAAAATTCTTTTGTACTTCGGGAGCCAAAGAGAACTTAGAGCCAAGAGACAGGTACTGTATTCCGCAGTGTTTTCACTGCCATCTTTATAGTTTTAGCAGTGAGACTTTTACCTGAATCTAATGTCCGACTAGATCACTGCTTGCATTAGCAACTCTGTGCAGCATGTTCCTGTTATAATATAACAAGAAATCGGTAACGACAATGTAACAGGCACCTCTCGCATTTATCAAGAGACACTAATCCACAAAAGGGCTTTGAAAATCCCAGAGAAATGACAGAGTAACCTCAGTGTTGAACAAGTCATGAGATGCCTTAACTATTTTTCAGGGGCAAATATAATTTGAAGACAAAGATTTACTTACAAATGGTTAGAGGTGCAGTATCTTTCTGTTGCTGCCAAACCACAGCTTGTTGTAGGGGTTGTTAAAATTCTCCCATGTGTCCATCCTGCTGCTGTTTACCTTGGGGACTTTTTTTATAGGAGTGGACAGAACCCAACAGCTTTAACGTGTGCATCACCTCCTATAAACAACTGTTTAAAGGTCACCAAGCCTTTATGAAGATGCGATGGAAGTACTTAGTTGTAGATGAGATGCAGCAAATTAAAAACATGACAGAGAAGCACTGGGAGGCACTCTTCAGTCTCCGGAGGTATGGATCAGATCAAGGGGTTTTTTACATCACTTCTAGATCAATTTTTCTTTTAGAAGAGGATTACTTAAAAATAATTTATTCACATGTCTTCTGTGTGTACTTCGCAAAGTATCCAGATAAGAACCTAGAGATCCATTTACTTAAACAGTCAAGTTCCAGAGACTTGCTCGCATGTGGTAGTTGCTCTTTTAGCAGTATATTTCCTAAAATATTTTTATGCTATAGAAACAGGAAGCTAGCTTGATGGAGCGCTGGTTTATTTTGGGTCAGTCTCTAAATTTGCATTTGCGAGTGACTTTTTTTATAACATATTTTTTATTAAAATAATGAAGCCAGACAGGAAGTTGTTTAAATTAGTGTTGTAAGTCTTGAATACTTATGTAACACTGATTTGTTTAGTTTGAATTGATCATCTTTTTAGAGAAGGCATTGCATCCTAACACAGCTGAGATGTTAGGCAAACAGATTATTTGCGTCTGTTAATTATTTACTGAAGAAGTAAATCTTGCCTTGGGCAATGATAAAGGAAATTTGGATTTTGGGTTTATTTTCATAGCATGATAGGAAAATATGGCTGGAAAGGACCTCAGGCAATCTAGTCCAGCTTCCTGCTCAAGGCAGGTTCATTCATGTCTAAATTATGCTGGATAAGTGTTGGTCTAACTTGCTCTTAAAAATTTCCAAGGAAGGAGATGTTTTGTTTTAAATTGATTTGCAATGGAGGTTATTTTAGTAGTATTGTATGCTGTACCATTTGAGTCTAATATGTGTTCAGTAGGTGTGTCTCATTTTTCATAAATGAGTACCTAATAACTAGTACTTGGTATGTCACAAACTTTGTTTTATTATTTACAGCCAGCATCGCTTACTCCTGATAGACACCCCTTTGCATAATACTCTGATGGAGTTGTGGACCATGGTGCATTTTTTAATTCCAGGAATTTCCAGACCTTATCTAGACTTTCCAGTAAAAGCAGCCAATGAGGAAAACCAGGATTATTGCCATAAACTTGTCATAAGATTACACAGAGTATGTTATTATTTTTCTCTTCATCTTTACTACTTCAATCATACCTGATGAAAAAATGAGGTTGTGGGGGCAGCTAGTTGAACTCTGAATTTTCTGCCTTTTCTTAACACTTGGATCAATTCATATAGGAACTTGTGCTCTAAGCTTTGCAATGTATGTTGGCAAAATAGCGTCGTGTGTTGGTCCCTGTTCTTATGTGACACAGATCCTTTCAAATCATATCCCTCTTAAGATCCATTACACTTCCTGATTAAATCTGAAGAAGGGCTTCTGTGTTGCATCCAGTTAACTTTTGGTGCCCCCAGATTTTCATTGTGTCAAAGACTTTTCTAGTGACAGTACAGAATTATATTATTGAGATAAGCTGGTGATTTTAAGAGCTGGGTAAGGGATAGGTTTTTGGAGCTCTTGATATACAGGGATATGGGAAGGAAGTTTTGGCATTAGTTCCTAAGGAGAGGCTTTTGTTACCATGGAAGAAATATGAGAGGGAACATGAAGAATGGGTCCCAATTTCCTTATTCCTTGTTGCACACCAGAGATGCATTTAAGCAAGCAAGAAACTGACTTAAGCAACTTCCATTAGTGTCATGTTTAGATTGGCAGAGGTTTGTTCTCATTTAACTACATTAATATAAACCTACAACTTAGTTAAAGCAGTTTGAATCGTTTGGATTTTGAGTCTTACCCTGCCCAAATTTTCTTCCATTGCATGCCAAGATTAGCAAATCTTGCTAGTTTGTGCATCTGCTAAAAAGATTATCACTGAAATAATTAACAGTCTTTATCACTTCTTTGTAATGAATAGAGGCACTTCACACATCTCTGAAAGCTCTGGTTTTGAAGGTGCCAGCACACATGGGCATTGATTTACATTTCAGTTTACAATTTGTAAGTTTTTTTTCCCACTGTGTAAAGGGTTAGAGATTTTCTTTATGAAAATGGGGGAAACCCTCCAAGCAAACCAATAATAAAAGCTTAGATTCTGGAGCACAATTAGCCAGAAGTTGAAAAAAAACCCCCAAACAGCGTTCCTACAAGCATTTGTATGGCAGCATAATCACGTTACGCATAGGTCTAGCACTTACGTACATCATGTCTGGATAATCTTAGTTCTCAGATGTCAAACTGAATCTTAATGTGGAGGAGAATTTTCTTTTTAATTTATGAAACTTTTCAGATGATTCAACCATTTATTTTGCGAAGATCAAAGAGAGATGTTGAAAAGCAACTTACGAAAAAATATGAGCATGTGCTAAAGTGTCGTCTTTCTAACCGGCAAAAGGCAATGTATGAAGATGTCATATTACAACCAGGGTAAGGAATTCTAATAGTAAGTTAAAAATGCTGTGATTCTGCTGGGTGATGGCATTTAGTATTCCTCCAAACATTTTCATAGTGAGTGAAAATCATGTCTACACTGGAAGCTTTAAAATTTGAGGCAAGTGATATTATGAGCTTAAAACAATGGTTTTCAACCTTTTTTGTATTTATGGATCCCTTTGAAAATTTTGAAGGGAGATGTGGACTCCTTTGAATTGTAAGTGTAGCTGTTCACATACTTTTGATTGATTGTAGTCATCTTTCGTGGACCCCTTAGACATGGTCCACAGACCTCCCAGGGTCCACAGACCACAGGTTGAAAACCAGTGACTTAAAAAATTGAATGATTAGGTATTTACCTCTGGAAATTGTATAAATAGAGTTCTGGTGGTCAGTAGGAAAAACTGCTTTTGTTTGATTCTTACCTCTGGTGGATGCTCTCTACTTCACAAAACTAGAAGAATTCAACGTAACTATTGATCTATACCCAAGAGGTGTTTAGGAAGCCGTGTAATCTATTGGCAGCATTGTGTGGGGAATCCCTACATCCTTGGACTCTATCTGATTTTAGGCAGTGTTGTTGGTCCCTCAGTTTTGTGCCTGTCCCAAATTCACATTCACTTTTCTGATGCTTCTCTCCACATATTAAGATTGTTGCGTAACACTTTTCACTTCAGATTCTGGCCCTGTGAGGTTAAGGTCAGCTCTTTATGAAAGCTAAGCTGAAGTTGTGGTATTTACATTTTTTCTTTCTTCAACAGAACCCAAGATGCACTTAAAAGTGGACATTTTGTCAGTGTCCTCCATGTTCTGATGCAGCTGCAAAGGATTTGTAATCATCCGGACCTTATAAATCCCAGGTTTTCTAGCTCCTCTTATGTGTCAGAAGCACTGGAGTATGGAACTGCTTCACTAATACTAAAAGCTCTAGAATCAGATCTTTGGAAGGTGAGTGGAAAAGTGAATTTTAAAAACTGCCCTTGCAGAATTTAGGTATTTACTACCGTGTGTATGCTTCAGGTCAAACTACAGATCATAAACAGAAGGAATTTGGTACATACCTAGTTCAAGGTACATTTACTACATCTTTCCCAATTTCTAATAATTTGTTGATGAGTTTTCAGAATTGGGTCAGTAATTGATTGGCATTCATGTTCCAGCTGCCTGTGCAGAGATTGGCTTTGTTTTGCATTGCAGTTGTGGATTTGGTCTTCAGAAACTTTCCTATACCTACAAAAATTCTGGACAGGCAAAATCTGAATAAATTACAGTAAAATCCACTTTACTCTCAGGTTCCATAATCATCTTCCTGTTTTCAGGATTCATAGTAACTTTTTTAACATGGGGAGGTCCTCATTCATTTTGCCTTAGTATACTCCTGCAAGAAGAGGAAAATAATTGCGCTAAAGAAGAGAATGATGAAAGGCGTGAGCTTTTTGGATGGGCTTGTTGTCTTTAACTTGTGTATACTGTGCCTTGATAGTAACAGGCATACTAAAAACACTCAGTTGAATATTTTTATGCTGTTTTAATTATCCAAATATGCCCTGTGTCTTTGGTATTTCAGTTTTGTATTTACTGGTATTTAATTAATGAGGATATTGGAAATACTGGAAAAGCTCCAGCAATTTTTATGTAAGTTCTGTTTTCTGCACAGTAGTCTGACTACCTATTTAATTCCACTTCTAGCCAATGTCAGGATGGGAATCTTAACTGTAGATTTTACCTAGGCAGTTAGATATTTCAGCATAACATCTATTAACTAGAAGTAAACCTGACTTTCTTTTTCTTTAAATAAATGCAGCAAATGAGAGAAGCTAGAAACATTTGTTACCTTCGGGCTATATAAACTGAGTAATGAGACATGCCAGTTACTCTGAACTTTATTACTTATATGCACTGACACCTTATTATTTCACAATAATCCTAGGATACAGATACGTCTCTCTTTGATCTGATTGGCATAGAAAATAAAATGACTTATTATGAAGCACAAGTTTTGCCAAAACAAAAGGTGACCAGAAAGCTTATTGAAGAAATCTATAGCTCACCACCACCTCCACCCAGACCCAACCCAGTGAAGCTCAAACCAAGCAGGTTTGTACAACTTTACAAGAAAATATTGTTGGCTAAAAGCAAGGATTTAATATTGGTGACATGTTTGAGATGTGGTTAGTCACTGGTTCTTATCTGTATTTGGTTGAAGAGTTCATATTACTTCCAAAATATTTACTCATGAAACTGGTTCTGGTAGTGTATTAGATTAGTTAGGACCACATCACGCCCTAGTTATTTCATTACTCTTGTATTGCACAGTTTAGCCTCCTTGTTCTCTAAGCTGTGGATATTGGCTTACTCAAGTGGATTTATGATGCTCTATATTTGGAAGTAAATCAGGGTTTTATGATGTCAGCCTAGTGGCTCTGACGAAAAGCCAAATTTTACTGTGGCATGACATAACACGGTGTTATGATGTGTGTATGGTTTTTTGAAACACATGGCTCAGTTCTACTTTGACTCAGTTTGGCTTGCCAAATTTTTCCTTTGGCCTGTAGTGTGATATATTTCACATTCATATAGAGAGAGAGCATCTAGTTCTAGGAAACTGAAAGTATGTCTTTTTTCTGTATTAGTAGGTAGTTTGCAAGTCCTTCAGGCATATAGCTATGGCTACAATTGCATAAGGAATAGTTAAGTGACATAAAATGTAACAATATTTCTTGTGAACCTGATTTGAATCTGCAGCATCTTGAAGTTGTAGAACTTCTCTTTCTGGACATGGGGCATCGCTCTGAAAGCCTTGTAATGGCCCCTTTCTTTTTCCTGCTTGCAGCTTTGGTGATTGAAGTCGATCACCATTTTAATTATTCTGCACATGTCCACATGTCACGGTTATAGGTTTCCCTGGTAGCAGTGGCAGCCTTTTTCTCTTTTTTTTTTCCTGTTTTTTTTTTTCTTTCTGCCAGTTGCATCCTTGCCCACAGGGTTTTAAAGATTAGTAATGAGATGAATCACATTTTTACTCAGTGTTTTGCTATTGCTGCTGCTGCTGCTCAGAAAAGCCAAGAATAAGAGCAGCAGCAGTAGAAGCTAAAGACTCAGGGAAAACAGCATTACAGCAAAGTGAAACAATTCCTTTGGGGGTTTTTTTGGGTTTTTTGTTTTTTTTTTAAAGAAAAGTTGGAATTATGTAGGAATTAATCAAAGACCTAGATTGTCCCATTCTTCAGGGAAGGCATTTCACTGAGGAGGAAATGAATGAATTTGTAGAGGTTTGGGTTAAGCAATTTGTCTGAAACTTTTACTTTACATTATAATTTTCAGGTTGTTTCAACCAGTTCAGTATGGACAGAAGCCTGAGGGAAGGACTGTTGTTTTTCCAAGCACTCAAGTACAACGCACAGTGACCACAGCTACAGTAACTCAGCAGGGACAAGTCCGAGGGAGATCTCCCATTGCAACGGTTTCTGCAAACCAAGGTAAGAAGAACAGTATACACTGATATGTGTTAGTATGTTAATAGAACTCTTCTTTCCTCCAGCTTAATGGTCTAGAATACTAATGGCTCTTAAAACAGAGATGCAAACCAACTAATTGCCAGTAAATTTTCCCACTAGTTGCTACTGTATGATCTATTGGTGTAGTGCAAAGCTAAGCTAAGCTTGGTGTAGCCTAATTGTGGTAATGCATGGAATATCCTGTGGCCCAGTTGGTTTTTAAACCCTGATTGTATTTAATGTTCTGCCCAATTTAGGAGTTTATGGGTATGCTTTTAGTCTTTTAAAACATACTTACTGATTGTATAATGTGAAAATAGGCTAGAGGGATAAATATGGGTAGAAATCCCAGTCTGTAAGGAAAAGCCATTCCTTTAGCTATTTTAATATCCTCTTGGAAGGTTTCTTTTTAATGCAGGTTGTTTAAAACAGTGGAGTTAAGACCTCTAACAGCTTGCACAAACAAACCTTATTGATTGCAGCCGCAGCCGCACAGTTTCAGACAACTCAGGCTTCCACCAGTGCTCCAAGACACCAGCCAGCAGCGACCTTCACCACAGCAACTAGCACAGCCAATCCTGTGAAACAGCGGGGTCAGACCACTGCACAGGCCTCACAGCTAGGCCAGACCCAGCCACAGGCCCCCTCGCACACCATCCAACAAAGTGTGCTGCCTCAGAGGCTGGTACTGACCTCTCAGGCCCAGGCACGGTTGCCTAGTAAGTGGCCTCCCCTTTCAAGGTTTCTCCCACCTTCTTACTACAATGAGGTTAAGTTACTAGGCACCCTAAAATGTGTACAGAATTGTTGTTTTTTTCACTCTTCTGATTAGCCTTGCTCACGACATTGTTTATGACCAAGGACAATCAAAAATTGGATAAGAAACAATAGAATTGCTGTGGACATAAATTAGTGGTGTCAACTTAATCTCCTATTTCTGCATGTTTCTTCTGCTGGCAAGACTTCCTTCAGAACAAATGTTTTAGCTCTGTCCTAATTATTCTTTCCATATTAAACACTAATCCATCTGCTAAAAGGCCTCTCTCGCAGAGACAAAAGTCGCAACTGTTAGGCAGAGAAAAGCAATAAGGCTTTGCTTTAAGGTTGTATGTGCATTGCCTATTAGCATGTATGTAGAATACTGAGCACTGATGTATTAATTTTATCTCTGGGGTAATGCACTGCCTTTACAAAAGCTACGTGTTTGTGCTGGCCTTTTCTAAATAATTTAATACTTGATGCTTCCATGCGTGTAACCTTACTGTTTTTAAATCATAAAAAGCTTCTGGTACGTATTGTGTTAAAGCTTTTTTGATTTGTCTCAGTGCAGACCACTTACTATAAATGATGCTTCAGCAGCAAATTTTAATCTCAGAGCTGTATATAAAATGCACCTCTATCTCACTATATTTTGTGTGAATATTTTGTCTCCTCTTTAAATCTTTCTCAGCGCTCTTGAAAAGGCAGTGGAAATCACTTTAATGTCTCTTCCTGTTCTGTTACAAAGTGTCACATGAGTTTTCAGGTAGCTCTTACACCTTTTGCTTATAAAAGTGGAAGGATCACTTCTAAAACATTGACGTTTTAGTTCTAAATGATCTGTTTCTTTCCAGTTCATCCAACAAACTCAAAGTAATACCTGCTGAACTTTTATATGACACTTTTACTGCACTAAATAGAATTATGCATGGAAGGTGCTTCAGCACCAATTTACTAACCAAAACTGAGAATTGCAAAAGCCAGAGGACCGTCTTTAATGCATATTTCCCTCCTTTACAGGTGGTGAGGTAGTAAAAATAGCCCAACTGGCCTCCATAGCAGGAGCTCAAGGCAGAATCGCTCAGCCGGAGACACCTGTAACACTGCAGTTTCAAGGGAATAAATTTACTTTATCACATAGCCAACTGCGTCAGCTCACTGCGGGGCAGCCTCTGCAGCTGCAAGGTACTCAGTTTCAGACCATGGGTTTTCCAGTACTGAAGTGTTAGGTCATTGGAATGGGGAATGCTGTATGTACTTGAACCAGATTTGAAAAAGATTTCCCCCCCGCCCCTTAGCAACATAGTTTGTTGTTATCTGTTCACTGTATGCGACAGGCAGGGTAGATTTCACTTAAAAAATATGCTACATAAAGGAGATAGCTACTGTGTATTTGAATATTTACTTCATGGATATGTTCCAAAATGTGTCCAGTGCAAATAGAACAAACCAGTGCGTTATGTAGAGTCAGCACAAAATTGTTTTAGTTTGGAGTCAGGCAGAGAAGGTAGGGCAGGGGGCAGAGATGCAAGTACCGTGGTCTGTTCCCTAAGTAGCAGCAGCAGCTGAAGTTTGGCTGACTGTGGCAGCCATAGCTGCCATTCTTACGACACTTCTACGTGGGAATCTGGAGCAGAGGGCACCTTAGAGATGTGTAACACTACTACTGGTAGGGTGCTCCTGAGAGACTAATTGGTTCAGAGAGGCATCTGCTTTCATTGGCAACTACCTACCATATTTACTTGAATAGAAGATGACACTGAATTTAAGATGATCCCCCTCCCCAATGATTAGATTCTGTATGTGGAAAATGTATACATTTGTTATAATTTTCCAGGTATAGAATCTAAGTATTGGAAAGTTGTCTTGAATTCGTCTTGCCGCCCCACCCCAGCTCCCCTACTGCTACATATGGGAAAGCAGTGGCTGGGGGAGTCAGGTGGCTAGGGATGGGGGGGTTGTCAGGCAACCCCCTTACTCTCTACCCCCTCTTCTTCCCCGTACAGCCTTTCTGCCCCATTTTCTCCCCCCCCCCAACTCTCCAGTCTCTACCTCTTCTTCCCTCTCTACACCTCCCCTCTTACTGCCAGATGCTGCTTGTTACTTGGGCTCTGATCCATCCTGGAGCACAGCAGGTAAGTTCAGCCCTTGCTGGCCATGCAGCAGTGTTGACACTGTTGACTGACTGGATAGGCAGTGCAGCAGTATTGCCGCTACTGATTGGCTGGGCAGGGGGCAGAGTTTCTATGTGCTCCATGCCCTGCAGGGAACCCAGTCCAAGCTGGAGTTGAGCTGCATCTTGCAGTAAGGTGGGGAATGTGTGGGAGTGTGGGGGGCAAAAGCTGCAGAGGGAAAGTAGAGGGACAGAGTCAGAGCTATGGCAGCTGCCTGCTTCCCCCTCTATTTTGTACAGGGAACTAAGATGAGGGGCTTTTTTCCCTCATGCTGACTTGGGGAAAAACTTTTAGATTTCAGTAAATATGGTGCTTCGTCAGATGGTACAAATGGACCAGCAGAAAGTAAAAAGATGTTATACAGAAAGGAAAGGGACAAGAGGAGGGGATGCTGCTAGGAGAGGTAATGAGTGGATTGATTGGATTAGTTAATAAGGCAGTTAACATCTGGAATTATGCCAGAATAAGCAGGTAGAACAACTGCAAACAAAATCGATCCACAACAGATTACCTAACTCTAATTCCCACCAAGCTACCAGGCCTTGCTAAAGACCCAAATGCCAGTTGTGTTCCCTCATCACCATAGACTGGGTCATCCCTGGACTGAGCAACTAAAATGATAACCTCTGCTGTTCTTTCTGTTTAAAACTAGGTAAATTGGATGGCACAAAATTCAAGACATGTTTAGTTAGAAGTGATGCTGCAGAAACTGTTAATGTTCATCTCTGTTTTAACCCAACCCCTGCCCTGTGCTGTGTCTCCAACTTAGACTGTTTTTGATCAGAAATAGCCTCTCTGTGGCTCTGATTTTGGAGCTTCCTAGTATGTGAATTCCCAAATTGTGGCAGAACTGGAAAACCTGCCTGGCTGTGAAAGGGGTCGGTTGGCCTGGACATAGGCCAGAAAAAGAAAATATAAGTGAGAAAGCAAAGCAGTGGGATTTGAGTTGGTTGCTTTTTCCAAGTTTTAGAATGATTATGTCTTTCAGAACCTCTTCCTAAGTCTAGATATTTCTATGCACAATTTAGACAAAACTGAAGTGGTTTTTAATTTTTGACCTGACAAGCAGTCTACTGTGTTCGGTCACTTTGGATTAGATTCCCCAGAACTTGATGCTTGATCTGTTTCAGTAACCCGTTCTGCTGGAGAATCAGGGATGGAAGAAGGCTATCTAGTCTAAGCCCTGCACTGATGATGGAGGCACTGTTCCTAAACCATCCCAAGAAGACTCTTGACTCTCTTCTATTTCATCTAGTCTAACTTTTTTTTCCTTTACATTAAACTCTGCCATTGCAGGAAGTGTCCTTCAGATTGTTTCAGCACCAGGCCAGCAGTATTTGAGACCTCAGGGTCCAGTTGTCATGCAGACCGTTTCTCAACCTGGAACTGTTCAAAATGCTTTGAATGCATTGGGAAACCAGCATCAAGCAGGCATGCCAGCTTCTACAGCAGTAACTCAGCCAGGTAGGTATTTTGTCTTCAAGGAATGTCTCCACTTAGACATTTTACAGCAAAACTGCTTCCAAATAACAGGTGCCAGTGTCAGTTCAAAAAAAAGGAAGTGGTGGTCCTGTTTTGTTCAGAAGTGCTGGGAAATATGTGACCTAATGAGAAATTTGCACAGACCCTTAGAAGAAAGCTGAGTAGAATAGGTGCAAGGCTTGACTCATGATCACAGACATTGCAACTGTATTTACATGGTCAGAATTTCTCAGCACCAGAGCTGCATCTCGTAAACCATTTTGTACAGAATGGTAAAATGTGAATTTAAATTATTAGCTGCTTTTCAAAGTGATAATTTGTGTTGTATGAAGAGGTGGCAGATGGTCTTATGCTCTCTTTTTCCTACAGTGATTACTTCTCCATTCGCTTTTTCCCTTGCTTTTTCTGATTCACCTATTTCTTTCCTGTGCCTCTGTAAAAATACAAGTTAGGTTTTGTCCACTGTATTAACTTGATCAAGGCTGCTGACAGATGTGAGAAAAACCCAAACAAACCGCACTTTACTGGAAGAGGCAGCGTGTTAATTTAACCCAGCTCTGCAGCATCTGTATAAATTGCACACTTCAGTGGGGCTTTTTTGGCACTTTTAGCTAATAGCTGATTCAATCAGCTATTAGCTAAAAGTGCCAAAAAAGCCCTGCTGAAGCACCTGTTCTGTACAGATGTTGGGCAAACTGGATCAAAGTAACACAGTGCTTCTTTTGGGCATGTGCTGTGCTTGGCGTGGGGGTGCACGGAGTTTTAAAGTGAAGGGGTTTTTTGTTGTTGTTTTGTTTTTACATCTAAGCAGCCTAAGATGTTAAAGGGAGAAACACTTGATAACTGGCTGTCTGGTGGGATGCCTTCAGGGCAAAGCAGTACGGTACTGTTCAACAGGAAGTACGATGCTAGGTACTTGTACATTAGGAGTGACTATTTGCTGTAATCACCTTTAGACTGAAAGCCATTTGGAAAACTAAAGGAGCAGTAATTGGATGTTTTTCTGCTCCTTTTTTTTTGCTGCATTTACATGGCCCTGAAGTTTAGCCTCTTTTGTGCAACATAGAACTGGGGAATGAAACCTCCACAGCAGTACTTTCAAGGTCCAGCTCTAGGGACGGAAAAGATATGAGAGACTGTGGCACAGGGTGGAAGATCTGTAGCTTAATATTTCATTCCTCAGCTTGTGATGTCATATTGCAAATGCTCTTAATATTGCCAAAGGCCTCCAAGAAAGTTAGATAGTTCAAGGCTACCAATTTAAAGTAAAAAAGGGAACTGTTTTTCTTTTATATTGAAAGAGAGCCCAATTAAAACTTATCTTTCAGATATATACTTGGACTTGGACATTTTTGTTTGAAATACTAGAAGAAAACCACGGCTGCAGGATCTACAGTGTAGATTATTGCCTAGTCTGCTTATGTGTTTCTGTATTGAGGAAATACATGCATTCTGGAAGCTTACATTAGCAGTGTGCTAACTGTAAAAATGTGAAATGTGAAGCCATCCTGTACTTGCTTTATAGTTGATTATTCCTTCTAATTGTATAATATATTTGGCACAGATTGCACTAATTAAGTTGGGTATAATTGTTCATTAGTGTATTGATTCAGCACTGAAAATACAGCTTCATATTGAATCACAGAGTGTTGTGCTGTTTTTCTACTGAAAGTATTCAGTGCCTATGAGCAATGTGTGCCAACTGGGGTAGGAAATTATACATCTTACCAGGAAAACAATAACAAAACAGTGTTGTTAATCTGCCACTGGGTTGAATACTGTCCTTGGCATTACTTGAAGCTTTGATTATATTCCTTGTACTGTGTCATGTGCTGGTAGTTCATTCAGTTAGCTCTTCTAGAGAAGCACACACAAGCAATTGCATTCATAGACAGGCTGCAAAAAGAACCAGAGATGTTGTGGAAAAATGTGTTTTTCCATTTGCATAATAATGGAAATATTCTGTTTAATTTTATGCTTACTGAATTGATTAATAGAAAGGAGGTGTAATGAGTATGAGTTCACTGAGATTAATTATGACAGCAAGTTTTTCTGACCTAAAGCCATTATTCTTTTGCTTTCTTAAAAAAAAAAGAGTAGTAATGGACATATACTAAAATTGCAAATGGCATGGTTTTTATGTAATGAAAACGACAGGTGTTGTGTAAGCAAAGCAACAACAGCATGTTGTGTTTCTCAGAAATGTTGACTGCACATCAACTAAGATTTCAGAATGGGGAAAACAATCTCAATAATACACTGAACAGCTGCTGGGTGGGACAGTAGCTTTTGAGTGATGTTAAATATGCAGGGACAAAGAGGGAATGCAGCTAAATAATTGTGACATTAGAAGCAGGATCAAACAGGTTTCTAACCTTAGAAGCCAGCTATTTTGGCACAAGTTTTATTGACCTGAGGCTGCTGTTGCACTTAACCATGGGCTCCGATATGTGTGTGCAGAGCCTGCTCCGATGCACTGGAAATCCAGCTGGAGCATGGAAATTGACCCTCTCCAGCAGCTTTTTTGCGTCACGTGCATCAGCGTCCCAGCGCATCTCCACACTTAAAAAAAATGGCAGCAAGGCTCTTTGAAACAAAACACGTTTGAGCTCTAATTCAAAGCGCCCTGCTGCCATTTTTTCAGCATGGGGATGCTGATGCACATATAGCGCATGGGCGCTTTTAATTAGTGCAGCTTGCTAATTAAAGCACCTGGCACTGCATCTTGCAGCACATGTGGAAATGCCCCATGTGCCTACCATTTAACTCTGGTAGGAACAGTACATTGTGGGTAGTAGCTGGTAAATGAACGTAAATTTCTGAATATAATACAGTGATTGGGAATCAACGCTTGCTACTTCAAATCTGTTATCTTCACAGCACAAGAAGGAGATATAGACAATAATTAAAATGTGAGTATTAAAAAAAAACATGGGAGAGAAGAGATAAATTGGCAAGGCTACAAGATGAGTGTTTTTTATAGTAACAGAAGGTTTCATAGTGCCATGCTTAAGTAGTAAGAGAAGGTAAATTAAAGCCCTGGTAAGTAAGTGAGGGAGATCTAGTGTCACTCAATACAAGCCCACTCCACCTGGCTAAATCTGTTTTGGTTCCAACGCTATATTCCTAGATTCATAGATGTCAGGGCTGGAAGGGACCTAGAAGATCAAGTCCAGCCCCCTGCCCCAGGGGCAGGAAGTCAGCTAGGGTCAAAGGATCCCAGCAAGATAAACATCCGAACATTTCTTGAATGAGTCCAGAGTAGGTGCCTGCACCACTTCTGCAGGGAGTCTGTTCTGGGTCTTGGGGGCTCGGACTGTAAAGGATTTTTTTCTTATGTCCAGCCTAAACAGTTTTGTAGGAGTTTATGACCATTGGTCCTTGCTTTTCCTTGGGGCGCTCTGGTGAACAGACGTTCTCCCAGATCCTGATGTATACCCCTTATGTACTTATAAGCAGCCACCAGGTCTTCTGCACTTTTCCAGACTGAAGAATCCCATGGCTCTCAGCCTCTCTTCATAAGGCCTATTCTCTTGCCCTCTGATCATGCGCGTGGTAATTTTCTCCAGGATCTTACCAGGGATTGAGGTCAAGCTGATTGGCCTGTAATTCCCAGGATCTAATTTCCACCCTTTCTTGAAGATGGATACCATATTGGCCTTCTTCCAGTCTTCAGGTACTTCACCTGAGTGCCATGAGTACTTGAATATTTTTGCCAATGATTGGGCTATGACACCTGCCAGTTCCTTGAGTACCCTAAGGTGTAATCTGTCAGGACCAGCTGACTTGAAGGTGTCCAGCCTCTCAAGGTGATCCTGTACTAGATCAACACCGATGCGGAGTATAAGTACGCCCTCACCTTTTGTAACCATAAGAACTTCTTACTTTGGTTCTGTCCTGTGGACAAATGAATTACCATTTCACTAACAGATAAGTAGATCAACTGAGAGAGACAGTATGTGAAAAGCCTTTTTTTCAAGTAGAAATTTAAATGGACTAAATGCTTGTAGTACAACTGTGGTATTAATATAATCAATTTAATTTTTGGTGCTGTAATGAAGCTTCTTGGTTTCTTTGTGACTGGGCTGGCTTCCAAAATCATGAAAAGCAAGAGCTGTCCCCCACACCTGCCTTTCCCCAACCATGAAACAGTGTGTAGTCACGTTGCAACACAGGAATCTTTGAAAGAAGCTTGTGACAGAAATAATGAGGACCTACATTCTGTTACTATTCTAGTCTAGCCAGGGTGGGTGGCATCTGACAGCTCTTGGGTGCTGCTTTTGTAGCTAGCTTGGATTATTATTATTTTTTTTAAAGAGTTGCTGTAAACATTTGTAGGCTGCTTGAATTGTAACAAACTTGGCTTGGAATAGTAGATGAGCATGAACGCTGAGAGGTTGTGTGCTATGATAACCTTGTGTATCTGCAAGTGTGTGTTTGTAAAATGTCATCCCACCTGGAAGATGTTCGTCTCAAAAAGGAGATATAAACACGTGGTTTATCCTCAGTTTGTATTCCAGGTCGAACAGCAGTTACTAGCTTAACATCTGGTGACATAGGATCAGCATTAAAACCTGCACTTGCCCATGGAGGACAATCACAGGTAATTCAAAATTATTTTGCTGTGTTAACACAACGATTTTTGAGATTAAGAGCATATTCTTTATGCTATATTAATACTTCACTCCACTAGTTCAAGGTTGTAATTTACAATCTAATTGAATAAAACAGGAACAGTTAGTAGTTTGGGGTTGTGGGGGGTTTCCCCAGTATTTCAGATCTGTTAAACTTAAAGTGGGCTGTGGATTGTTGGTGAAAATGTATTTTAGTTGTAAAATACTACATGCTAGTATTTTAGTATGTAGTAAATGGATTTCTTTCTGAATAGCAGACAAGATTTTACATTTAAAAAAATGGAAACATGTTTTAAAGACAGTTTCCTTCAGTTGTGGAAAAAATTGTGGGAAAACTGTTAGATTGTCTGTATGCTTCCAAAAGTCAGGCTGCTTGGTGACATACATACATACGTATGTACGTAAGCTTTCTCACCATCTTTTTACAGGTTTTCCTGAAAAATCACACTTTCAAAACTGTGTTGAGTAAGATTTAAATAATGTATATGTGACATTCTATCTTCACACTTTCATACAGAAATTAAATTGTTACATTCATGTTGGGTGTATTAATAACTATGTTTATTCAGTCATCAGAATATTCATCCTGTGCAAAATATATAAAAATTAGGTGAGAGCACAAATTTTTATTGGTTTGGGAAAAAGCTTGCACAGGATGAATATTCTGATGAATGAATTAACATAGTTATGAATATACGCAGCATGAATATAACAATTTAATTTCTGTATGGAAGTGTGAAGATAAAATGTAAACTTACAAAAATGAGGACTTTCTAAATTAAGATGAAAATAAGCCTACAAATTGGATCATGCTCTTCACATTGTGCTAAATTTAAGTCCTTGTTGAGTGGACCCAACTGATTATGCTAATTTAGCATGTGAATGATATACAGCAAGGATCGGCAGCCCCCAGCACATGTGCCAACTAGTGGCATGCAGAGACATTTTCCCTGGCATGCAAGGAGGTGTGCGAGGAAATAATTAAAATTTTTTCTTTAAGTTGCTGCTCTGGGCTCTCCTGAACAGCCACAGGTGCCAGTGCTGTGGTAGGCACTGGAAGTCGGGAGAACATGAGCAGGGTCGCAGTCTGCTGATTCTGCCCCTGTCCCCAGGCTGTGCCCCCCCAGCACGGTTTGGCCCCTAGAGGGAGATGGGGGGGAGGTGGGGATGGGGACCCGGGCAGGTACTGCGCAGGGCCGCTGTGCTCCCAGCAGGTGGGCGAGCCCTGGGCCCAGGCAGACTGATGCTCTCTCCCACCCTGGGAGGCAGTACCGGGGTGCTGAGGCTGGTCAGTCAGGGCAAGCGCTGTGCCTGGCATGCACAGAGGCCAAGCCGGGAGCCCCCTGAGCCTGGGGTGCTGCCCCGGCCAGGCAGCATCCCCTCGCGGGCAGGGAGGCTGCGCCCCATCCCTGCGGAGCTGTGCCGGTCAGACCAGGCCCCACCTTGGGTGCCACTGGGCAGTCCCACTGTGGCCTGAGTCTGCAGAGCCTTGGGGCAGCCCCTCCTGCCCACCCGGCCTCCACTGAGGAGAGCTGGCAGGGGTCATCGCGGAGCCCTCGGCCTGGCTGTATGAGCATTTGTGGTCATCTGGCCAGGTGCCGAAGGTTTGGAAACTAGTTCATGTCCCAATTTTTAAGGAAGGGAGGAAGGAGGACCCAAGTAACTATAGGCCGGAAGCCTCACCTCGGTGCTTGGGAAGATCTTGGAGAGAATTATCAAGAGGCAAATGTGTGGGGGGTCTGCAGGAGAGATCATGCTCAGGGGCAATCAGCATGGGTTCGTCAAAGGCAGGTCCTGCCTGACCAACCTGATTGCCTTTTATGACCAAGTAACTAAATCCTTCGATGATGGTGTCGCCACGGACGTAGTCTTTCTAGACTTTAGGAAGGCCTTTAACACTGTCTCTTACCCCATCCTCATCAATAAATTAGGCGACTGTGTCATTGATGCTTACGCAGTTGGATGGGTAAAAAACTGGCTGATGGAGTGCACCCAGAGAGTAGTGGTGGACGGGTCGTACTCAGCCTGACGAGATGTGAGCAGTGGGGTCCCCCAGGGCTCGGTCCTCGGGCCCCCACTGTTTAACATCTTCATCAGCGATTTGGACGAGGGGGTTGAAAGCACTCTGTCCAAGTTTGCTGATGACACTAAGATGTGGGGCGAGGTGGGCACACTTGAAGGGAGAGAGAGGCTGCAACTAGATTTAAACAGACTACAAAAGTGGGCAGATGAGAATAGGATGGGGTTCAACGTAGACAAATGCAGGGTGCTGCAACTTGGGAGAAGGAATCCACAGCATACGTACAGGCTGGGGAGTTCTCTCCTTGAAAGCACAGAGGCAGAAAGGGATCTTGGAGTCATTATTGACTCCAAGACGAACATGAGCCGCCAGTGCCAGACTGCAGCCAGCAAGGCCAGCCATACCTTGTCATGCATCCAAAGGTGCATCTCAAGCCG